TTTTTTTTTTTTTTTTTTTTTTTTTTTTTTTTTTTTTTTTTTTTTTTTTTTTTTTATATATATATATATTGATTTCTTTATTTGGGAAATGAAATGAAAAAGAAAAGGATTCTCACTCTCTTGGATAATGGGCATGTTAAAAGTGAAGAACAGAGGATGAAAAACATAACATTTTGGAGGGGCTTCTTTGTTGGGCTTGGGAGTAAGATCGCTGTCCTTGGTTTTTGCAATAGCCCATTGGTGAAAGCCACTCGCTATCTGCTGCATTTCTTGGCGACCCCACCCTCCAACTATTGCAGAATCTTCCTCTGTAATCTCATCTCCATTTTATACTATCAAATCTTTGAAAAGGTTGATTCTGCCTCATAAAATAACTTGTAGTTTGTCATTTCTCCTTCTTAATGTTTGGTTTAAATGGATTCAACGAACTTGCCAAACAAGATTGTGGCTCGAATTATGCTCTGAAACGTCATATTCTTCTGTTTTTTTATCTCTTTGTTCATCAATGATTCGAACCCAGATGAAATTTCTGGCCAAATGTTCGAGTTCTTCTTCGATTTCCCCTTCCCTTGTGGTTCTTTAATCGTTTCATGCCCTTTCATGGCGACCCATTAGCCATTTTTGGCAGTTTTGAGTGTTCTTGGTTTAGTTTTTGGATATGGCGATTCGAGGGATCGATTTCAAATGGTAAATCTCTTTCCCATCGTTTCATTGGAATAAGAATTCCCCCATTTTGATGGGTTTTTGATTTGCTTGAGGATTTTGGAGGTTTTCAGGTACGATGGATTCTTCTTGTCAATGCTTGCTACTAGCATGTATCCTTTGCCATATTGATTGAAGCTGCTGTTGTTTATGCTTTGTCTTAACCTTGTTAGAACTTTACTGGAAAGCCAGCAATAGCCATTTTAGGAGCCCTGTATCAGGCTTTCATTATATCTGTTCTTGTTCTTTGACTGTTTTTGCTTGGTAGAATAATTGTGACTATCAATTGGAGGCGGTAGAATACATGTAGATATCCGTTGCACGTATGGATCGTGGTAGGCGTTCGAGTTTCGAAGAAGTAATACGAATCTAAGATAGGTTTGTGATTGCTTGTTCTGATGGCTGTGTTTTACTTTCTTCTTTCAGGTTGATTATACCTCTGTGTTTGCTTTTCGCCTTTTGCTGTTCATAGATAATGCACTTTCAGCTGGAATGGGATTGTAAGGCCTTGTCACTGTCTCCCTTGAATCTTTCCCTCTAAATTGTTCTTGAAGATCAGTTTCTGTTCAATGAGTTCAATTAGGACCAGATATGCAACCAATTCTGTAATAGCATAAACTCATCGATAGTAGATATTGTAAGATCCCACATCGGTTGGAGAGGGGAACGAAGCATTCCTTATAAGGGTGTGGAAACCTCTCATTAGTTGACGCGTTTTAAAACCTTGGGGGAAGCCTAGAAGGAAAAGTTCAAAGAGGACAATATCCATTGGGCGGTGTGCCAGCGAGGACACTGGGTCCCCTAGAGGGGTGGATTGTGAGATCTCACATTGGTTGGAGAGAAGAACGAAACATTATTTATAAGGGTGTGGAAACCTCTCCTTAGTTGATGCATTTTAAAACCTTGAGGGGAAGTTTGGAAGGAAAAGCCCAAAGAGAACAATATCTGCTAGCGGTGGGCTTGGTTATTAGCCAACGAGAACCCTAACCCCAAGAGGGGTGGACTATGAGATCCCACATCAGTTGGAGAGAGGAATGAAACACTCCTTATAAGGGTGTGAAAACTTCTCCCTAATGGAAGCGTTTTAAAACCTTTCAGGGAAAGCTCGAAAGGGAAAACTCAAGGAGGACAATATTTGTAATAGCCCAAGCCGCTAGTAAATATTGTCCTCTTTGGACTTTCCCTTCTGGGTTTCTTCTCAAGGTTTTTAAAACGCATCTGTTTAGGTGAGGTTTCTACACTCTTATAAAAAATGTTTCGTTCTCCTTTCCAGTCGAGGTGGGATCTCACAACCCCACCTCCATTGGGGCTCAGCGTCCTCGTTGGTACTTGTTCCCTTCTCCAATCGATGTGGGGCCCTCCAATCCATCCCCTTTCGGGGCCCAACATCCTTGCTAGCACACCGCCTCGTGTCGACCCCCTTCGAGTTTCAGCCTCGTGGTTGCTTAAATCTTGCTAAAAAGTTTATGACGAGGTTCTCATTGTTGATATCTTGTTTTCTTGCAAGTTCTTAAGGGAGGCAGTGGTGTATTTCAGATTTGGTGCCTTGAGTTGTGGTTCTTTCTATTCTCTCTATATTGCTCTACCCGTTTTTATGTACGTGGACTATAATCGGTACCCTATGGTTTCGAGACGCTTAAGACTGTGTAAGCTATACTATTCCTCCGTTAACTTCTCTATGATGCAATTGTATTCATTCTGATCAAACATAAACTGAACAACTTATTTGCATATCCATTTGATTTTGGGGTTGAACTAATGAATGCAACTGTTCTGTTCTCCTCCTGGACTTTGTGCAGGATCGTGGTATGCCGTGTGCTCACAACTTCCACGTCGAGTGCCGCTCCTCCGTCTTCCCAAATCTCGACCTCAATGCTCTTTCTAACCTGCGCTTGGACACAGAACAAACATCTGCCAATTGACTTTCAGCCACTCATTTCGACAGCGTCTTAGATGCAGTGGAGAACGGTAGCTCGACTGTGCCATCTGCTTCTCGACATTGATCGTGTACAGACTGAACCCGCTTTTTTTGTCACTAAAACTTCTCAGCTCCTTCAACCCCAGAGACCTTTCCATCATAGATCCTGCATAATCAGTAACCCTCATATTCATCTCACATTAGTTGGAGAGAGGAACGAAGCAATCCTTATTAAGGTGTGAAGACACGTTTTAAAATTGTTAGGCTGACAGCAATCCATAATGACCCAAAATAGACAATATCTGTTAGCGGTGGACTTGGGCTGTTACACGTCTATAGTTCTACGGTAAACCCGATGCAGGTTTCGAAGAAGGGGAAGAGGACAGATTTGCAGAGTGAGTCAACTTTTTGTTAGGTTTCCAAAGATGGTTATAAAATGCTTATGAACTCTGACAGTGACCTTCAAAGCTTGAGTCATGGAGGAAACAAGAGTTCACGTGGGTTTCTTCCATTAGCCCATGTTCATAGCTCGTGGTTCGTACAGATTCTTCACTACCTGACAAACATTCCCCGCCTTCTCTTGTTCTTTTCTCAAGTTTAGAACATTAATCATATACATTTTTACCGGCTTAAATGCCCGTTGTCATAAGCGTGGCACTCGTGGTTCATATCAAATCGATCGTGATCTCATTTTGTTTGTGAGGAAATTGGAATAGAACTCGATCATGACTTGTTTGACTTAGACCAGGCTTGTCATGAAAATAGTGAGGTCTGATCTCAATTCATACCGATCGTAATCTCATTTTGTTTGTAAGGAAACTAGAGTGAAACTCGATCATGACTTGTTTGACTCGGAACAGACTTGTCATGAGAATAGTGAGGTTTGATCTCAACTCGAACAGTTATCGTAATCTCGTTTTGTTTGTGAGGAAACTGGAATGGAACTCGATCATGACTTATTTGACTTTAAACAAGCATGTACTGAGAATAGTGAGGTCTGATCTCAATTCATACAGTGATCGTAATCTCGTTTTGTTTGTAATTGTAAGGAAACTGGAGTGGAACTCAATCATGACTGTTTGACTCGGAACAGGCTTGTCACCAGAATAGTGAGGTATGTTCTCAACTCATACAGTAATCATAATCTCGTCTTGTTTGTGAGGAAACTAGAATGGAACTCGATCATGACTTATTTAACTTGAAACAAGCTTGTCATGAGAATAATGAAATCTGATCTTAACTCAAACAATGATCGTAATCTCGTTTTGTTTGTGAAGAAACTAGAACGAAACTCGATCATGACTTGTTTGACTCGAAACATGCTTATCATGAGAATAGTGAGGTCTGATCTCAACTCGAACAAGAAATTCAATGAAGTTATCCTATACTTCTAATTGAAGAAAATCAAAATAATAATAATAATATTATTATTATGTTATTATTTGAGATAATAATATAAAATTAATTGTATGGAGATAATGATTGAAGATTTAATAATTATTAAGATCCTAAATCTTTTTAAAAATTATTTAATATTTCCAACATTGGGATGTCTTAAATAAATAGTAAATAAATAGCTCAATTTTAAAGGAAGGAATCATATCGAGATATAAAAAAATAAAAAATAAAAAATAAAAAATAAAAAATAAATATTTTTTCTTTTTCCAACATTAATGACAACTCAATATCTCGATTATTTAATTAAAATATCACTTTTAATTGTACAAATTTAATATTTTAATAATTACATTATTTTTTGTGCAATAAAAATATAATATAAATGTTTTTAAAAAATTAAAAGGATGATTAATCTTTCCTATTTATTTTAAAGAAAAATTGACAATAAATTAATAAAAAAAGATTAATTTGAAGTTTTTAAAAATAATAATAATTAAATTAAAATGCGAGGATGAAGGAAAAAATATTCTGCCACGTGTGTGTACGGACAAATATTTTTTCCCTAAAGTGAAAAAAAATAAAACATTGTCCTTTCTTTCTACGTGGGGTGGGACCCACAGTATGCCTACTTTTAGGTCCTGTGAACTTTATGGACATAGGACATTTAAATATTTAAATATTTAAATATTGCCTCTTTTTCTTTTTAATTTTTATATTTTATATCCTAAATTCCTGTCTTTTTCCTCGTTTTTTTCAAATATTTAATGATTTTTTTTTCAAATATTCCTTTATTTTCAATCTTTTTTTATGGTAGGTTACAGCTACCTACCTATGTCGTTTTAAAATATTATCATTAGTTTAATATGGTTTACGACTCAATTGTTTAAATATTTTTCACCTATATTTCTTTTTTTGGAAGGGAACGAAATATTTTTTATAAGAGTGTGAAAACTTCTCCCTATTAAGCACGTTTTAAAATCGCGAGGCTAACGACAACACATAATGGGCCAAAACGAATAATTTTTACTAGTAGTGAGTTTGAGTTGTTACAAATAGTATTATAGCCATACACGGAGTGATGTGCTAACAAAGACATTGAGCTCAGTTAGAGAGTAAAACGAAACATTTTTTTTTATAAGAGTATAGAAACCTCTCCCTAAAAGATGCTTTATAAAACTGCGAGATTGACGACGATACGTAACGGGTCAAAGCGGTCAGTAACGATGGGTGCAATGAGCCAAAGCGAACATTATCTATTAGCGGTGGACATAACGAGCTAATATGGAAAATATCTATTACAAGTCTCTATTATAAATACTTCTTTCTCTTATAAGTTTATGGTACCAAATAATTCTAAAAAATTATTTTAATCTAAATCTAAAAATCTTATTTACACAAATATTTTAATATAAAAAATAAAAAAATGGAAAAAAGAGCTTTCCTTTTTATAACTTTAATTAAATAGCTACTTGAGTTATTAATATTATTTTATTTTTAAAATAAATTATCATACTGCCGAGTAAAAAAAAAAAAAAGCATTGAGATAAGAATCTAAATGCAAGAATCTTGTCAGAATTTATATTTAAAATTAAAAAATGTATTAAATTTTCAATTATTATTTTTTATGGGATTATTCCAATTTATTATTATTATTATTATATTTAACAAATAAAAATAAACAATATTGGAAAAATGCTAATTAAAAAATTAAATTACAACCTTTGATTTTAAAAAAATGTTGGAAAAATCATTAAAATAAAAAAGAAATTACAACCCTTTAATTTAAAGATTGATTAAATAAATATTTTTTAAAATTGAAGGAAGAAATAAATATAAATCTAAAAGGTAGAGAGAAAGACTGTTTTATCCTTGAGGTTTGTAAATAAGTTGCATGAGATGCGGGAGATATTTGGGAAGCGACCAAAAAGTTGGTGGGGCCCAGAGGCAGCTTTTTTGAGGTGGTGATTTAAAAGAAATATAATAAAATAATGAAATTTTATTTATATTTTTAAATAATATTAGTAATAATAATAATAATGATGATAATAACTGGTCAGGGATGAGGGTAATTGTGGTATAAATCTAGAGAGAGAAAAACGCGCAAATGGGGGAAGAGAGAGAAAGACCGTATACGGAAGAGGACCATACGGCTTTGTCCGACAAACCCACGGACACTTCACTGTAAAGTGGGCCCCACGCCCATGCCTTTTAAAATTAAAAAAAAATTAAATAAATAAAAAACTGTTCTTTCTTCTTTCTTCTTCCGTTTCAGTTACTCCATCTAACTACTCCTCAATCTTCCTCTTTTACCCCTACTTTTTTCCCCCTTTTCCCCTTTCTACCCTTCCATCCCTCCTTTTTATTTTTACCCAATTTTGTTTCATTTTGGATTTTTCCTTGAATGGAATATAGATAGTGGTACACAAGGGGGCTCGAGAGACTTCGAGCGACGCATCGTAATTTATGCTAATTCTCAGTATACCATCGGAGAGATTTTAGCCGTTAATGGGAAGAATGAGACGATTAAGTCTGAAGACCTTTCAATTACGAATAAAACGAAGGCGCTACTCTACCTTATAAAGAATGTAGGTTTGTATAATACCTACCCGATGTTAACATTCCCAAATCTAAAAATGTTTACTACTTTGGATGGATGTACTACGTTTGTCCCTAACTGTGATGTCCTGAGTAATAGAACTATATGTAAATGAACCAAGATAACATCTAAAGAATAGTGTGATCATAAGGATGTAAGTAGTTCTATACTAGGTGACTTTGAAGATATGTTCCTTACTTATACATTCATGATCTAACCCCTGTGGAACTCCTCTCCCAATAATCTCCCTCTCGAACAAAGTACACTATAGAGTCTCCCATGAGGCTTAAGGAGTCCTTAAACAACCTCCTCTTAATCAAGGCTCGACTCCTTCTTTAGAGCCCTCAAACAAAGTACACTATTTATTCGAGTCATTTTTTACTACACCTTTGAGACTCACAACTTCTTTCCTTAATATTTGAGGATTTTATTAACATAGATAAGTTAAGGGCATGACTTTAATACCGGGTTATAAATCACAAATCTCCATAATGGTATGATATTGTCTACTTTGAGCACAACTCTCGTGACTTTGATTTTGGTTTCCCCAAAAGATCTTATACCAATGGAAATGTATTCTTTGCTTATAAACTCATGACCAACCCCTTAACTAGATGACATAGAACCCCTCTCCCAACCGCTCATGAGGGTGTTAGCCGAAACAACTCGATCGCTTCATGGGTTTACGGAGGGATTGAAACAATATGACCCATATGAGGGGAAGGTAGACATGGGGGAGGGGGAAGGGAGTAAATAATTGAGTGGCAAGGTGGAAATAAAGGAGAAGGTAAGGGGTGAAAAGGAAGGAAAATGAGAGGGTAGGGGTCATAATCAAAGAGGACCAGTGTTGTCCCCTAAGAGGAGGATCTTTACACGTTATGAATGTAATGGGCATAACCCATTGGCGTTAGAGCAGACGAAGGAGACGAGTCTTCCCCGTATATGCTACCACTGCACCACCGCAAACAACAGCTACATCTCAACTCACTCTTTTCCCCCTCTTCCCTCCCTCTCTCTCTCCAGCTCTTTACCAGTAAACCCTTTCTCTCTCGCTCTCAAAACCCAAGTGAAAAAATCAAGAAAAAAAAACTCCCCATCTTCATCATTACCCCTTTCCTCTCTGTTCCACCTTCAAATTTGGTGTTCATGAGTTCATTTCTTCTGTTGAGTATCAGATATGGATATGAATATGCATGTGTGTGTATCATTTGATTCAAATTTAGCTCCATTTGTATCTGATGCGTGAGTTTGAGGGAAAATGTAGTTTAAACTAGTGGGTGCATTAATCGATGTGGGTTCTGTTTTTCTCTTGATTTCCAGCTATAGATCTTGTTCTTGCAACGATTGATTTACCAAAATTTGGGGTCGATTTATAATCTACATTGGGTGGGAAAGGATTGAAGAGGGGAGATTAATGATTTTGTTAAAATTTGGGCATACCCCATGAGGAATTTGAACTGGTTCAAGCCAATTTCGATCAATGGAAAGCCTGGGAGGAGGCTTTCTCTTGGGGAGTATGAGCGGGCTGTGTCGTGGTCTAAGTATTTGGTGTCGTCTGGTGCAGAGATTAAGGGAGAGGATGAAGAAGAATGGAGTGCGGACATGTCTCAATTGTTTATTGGCTTTAAATTTGCTACAGGAAGGCATAGCAGGATTTACAGAGGTGTGTATAAGCAGAGGGAGGTTGCTATTAAGCTGATAAGCCAGCCTGAGCAGGACGAAAATTTGGCTATCTTTCTTGAGAATCAGTTCATTTCAGAGGTGGCATTGCTGTTTCGATTGAGGCATCCTAATATCATCACTGTATGTTTCATTTACTTGGTTTCTTTTATGTGGGTTTGTGTTTATTTGTTGTCTAAAGCATTGAATGTTTCATGAAAGGGAATTGGAATGTGTTTGTGGTAAATTCTTCTTGGG